TCTGGGACTTATTTGTACTTTTGTAAAGAAATTAAAATAAACTTCTTTTGAAATCCTGTCACTTTCTCCAAGTATTGCAGCATTTGCATTCGAGTTCAGACGGAAGGTTTAATATTTGACGACTAGTTTGCGACGTAAATGTTAAATGTAAATCCAGCAATTTCTTTTTAAAATTAAAACGCTTTTAAAACGCTTTTTTTATTTGAAAATATAGCCTTTCTCAGTTATGTTGTTTTGTAATTGGAAGTTTTCCTTGGTTTTAATTGGTGTAAGCACCAATTAAAGATTTTCAGCATTTTTCACTTGTATGGTAATATGGCTGCGATGTAAAATTTAAGTTGTTTACTTTTACTCTACACAAATTATTCTTAATCCTTTTTAAAATGGGTGTGTGGAGGTCACACACTCGCTTCTGATATTGAACTTTTGGACTTATTTGCACTTTTTTTTTTAAAGAAATTTAAATAAACTTTGTATTGAGAATTGCTGTCGTCATTATCCTGAAATCCCGACACTTTCTAAAATGCATCTAGCTAAACTTTTAATATTTGACGACTAATTTGCGATGTGTATAAATGACCGACACTAATATCCAGTGATGAAAAGTTTTCTCTTTTTTTGGGGTAAAATAACTCTGTTTTAATTGAAAATAGCCTTTATTAGACGTGATCTTGTAATTGGAAGTAAGGCTATACATGTTTTCTGTTTTCTTTATTTACGTTTGTTGTGAGCCAAAGAATACCCAGAATAAGCAGCAAAGATGTTTTTTTTTTAGGCATTTTCAACATTTTATTTGAAAAAACACATACAAAAAGGGTCATATACAAGACAAGAAATTAAAAAAGAAAGAAAATTTTGGGTTAAGCTATGCAACTTTTTGCATCATCATTAGTAATAAATACAGTACAAAATCCACCAAAAGTGAATCTAAGATTTTCTTCATTTTTTTTTTACGCAATATACACTTATCTAGTTATCATACATTATAATCACCAAGCTATTGCTTAAATATTGTCAATACATATTTTTCTACTTGAGCTATAAAATATTCATGTCAGAAAACATTGCGCAGTAACAGCACACAGCAGTGTCTTGTACAAAGAGCCACTTCCCTTTCACTGGCAGGTTATTCAACTATTTTTTTCTGTTTTTTTTTTTTTTCTTTTTATGTCAGCAGCAGAAAAAACATCAGAAATATTTATGGTAAAATATTTTAACATATGTATCCATTCTCATACGCATATTAAAACCTGAGAAAGACATGCATTACAGAGCTTGTGCTTTAGGATCTACGGTTCAGTCTGTTAGCGAAACATGACACTACTATTGCTTATGTCCAAAATCTGCTGGAGAGATGGATCAAATCAAGAGACTTTAAGGCTACACAGGCTAGAAACACAAATCATACGATATAAAGCCATTTTTTCTTTTTCCGCGTATAGGAAACAATCGAAAGGAACTGCTATTCCAGGTACAGATTGTTTTGCATGGCAGGAAACACAATTATTTCACTAGAAACAAGAGTTATCAATGAGCGATAGTGTAAAAACACAACAGATTATTGAAGTTAAATACAGGGTTCGTACAAGATGCTTAAAGTGCTTGAATTTAACTGTTTGAAATTTGAATGTTTATGAAAAGGTACTTGAAAAATGCTTGAATTATTGAAAGACAATATATGTGAAAAAGTAGTGTTTGATCTTATTGATAAATCTTTTCACACAAAATTAACGCTGCAGTGCGTCTGATATTGATATAGAGTAATTTCACATGGCCATGAGTGTGATATTGCTCATAAAAATATCCACGCTTTCATTCTTCAGGTCAATCATATATTCATGTGGGAAAAAAGAAAGAGGAAAGTGATATCTTTGTCGTAGTTGCCTATCCTTTCAATGGTTAAAGTGTCCACTGTAGCTTTTTTAGAACTTGAAAGATTGTTTGATTTCATTGTAGTCCTTTAGCCAAAAAAGTAGTGCTTGAAAAGTGAAATTTGATTTTACAGTATCTGTACGAACCCTGTAAACAACCTGACGTGGTGAAATATGACAGACCTATACGGCAGCTACAACACGACCTGCATTCAACATTTAAAGCCCCTTACATGAAGTACCGATACGAATCCAAAGGCAAAGAAAAATGTGAAAAAATAAGCATAACTTAAAGTTAACGCCACATGGGCACAAGACAAGCAGCTTTAATCAATCACAGTAAGCGCCGAACTCGCTCCTCACGACTGAACACACACCGCTCGCAGGACGACAGTGAGAGGCAGCGAAGCTGAGAGTGCAAAAACAGCAGACACATGCAAAACAAGTCCAGTTGGTCTACGAGCTCACGGCCGAACGACTCTTTGAAATCGCATTAATGGAATGTAACCAAAACACTACAGCACCACATACTAGCACGTTTCAGCACGCCCTGCTGGGGACTTGAGCTTGTTTTGACACCTAGGCCCCTTAAAGTACAACCGCATGCAAAGCACTCCCATTAAAGTATAGCACAATGAGGTATTTATACACACGTTATGCTGACGTAAATAAATAAACCAATCGATTACATTGCGATACTAGCTCAGAACTTAAATACGCACCCATAGTAGGTGAAGTTAGTCATAAATTATGATTGTTAAATACTTAAGGCATTTCGACGCACAATATCATGTGTAAACTATAAAACGCGGACGGACGATGAAAAAAAGATCACGCAATAAAATGCTTCCAACTTCCTGGCTTCCGCTCCAAGCAGCTGAACGCTTGAATTCGGGAAAAGTTGCAAAAGCAAAGTCAAGAACATCTGCTACGGAAAACAGTCACGGACATATAAAGTGGTCAGTGAGGCAACAACTATCGCTTCGGGATGCACCATATATCGTCACGATATCGGTGTCGGTATAAGAAAATTTAGCCGCTATTTCAGAGCTGTGTCAATACTGTATTATTTCCTTCAGCGTAGACACTTCAGATGTGCACTGTTCAACGTGATGGTGTTGAATTGATTTGAAATATTGTTAAAGTTACTTCAAAAAGGAAAATACTGTTAAGTGCAACGTACAGCGCAGATCCATCATATCTCTCAATTTGGATTTAGATTTATCGGCCAATATATCGGTTATCGGCTTTCAAGTATAAAAAGTTATCGTATCGGCCAAAATTTGGATCTAGATTTATCGGGCAATATATCGGTTATCGGCTTTCACATATAAAGAGTTATCGGTATCGACCAAAATTTGGATCTAGATTTATTGGCCAATATATCGGTTATCAGCTTTCAAATATAAAGAGTTGTTGGTATCGGCCAAAACTTGGATCTAGTTTTATCGCCCAATATATCGGTTATCGGCTTTAAAATGTAAAGAGTTGTTGGTATCGGCCAAAACTTGGATCTAGTTTTATCGCCCAATATATCGGTTATCGGCTTTCAAATATAAAGAGTTATCGGTATCGACCAAAATTTGGATCTAGTTTTATCAGCCAATATATCGGTTATCGGCTTTCAAATATAAAGAGTTATTGGTATCGACCAAAATACTTCGGTTATCGGCTTTCAAACATAAAGAGTTATTGGTATCGACCAAAATACTTCGGTTATCGGCTTTCAAACATAAAGAGTTATTGGTATCGGCCAAAATACTTCGGTTATCGGCTTTCAAACATAAAGAGTTATTGGTATCGGCCAAAATACTTCGGTTATCGGCTTTCAAACATAAAGAGTTATTGGTATCGGCCAAAATACTTCGGTTATCGGCTTTCAAATATAAAGAGTTATCAGTATCGACCAAAATTTGGATCTAGATTTAACGGCCAATATATCGGTTATCGGCTTTCACATATAAAGAGTTATCGGTATCGACCAAAATTTGGATCTAGTTTTATCGGCCGATATATCGGTTATCGGCTTTCAAATATAAAGAGTTATCGGTATCGACCAAAATTTGGATCTAGTTTTATCAGCCAATATATCGGTTATCGGCTTTCAAATATAAAGAGTTATCGGTATCGACCAAAATTTGGATCTAGATTTATCGGCCAATATATCGGTTATCGGCTTTCAAATATAAAGAGTTATTGGTATCGACCAAAATACTTCGGTTATCGGCTTTCAAACATAAAGAGTTATTGGTATCGGCCAAAATACTTCGGTTATCGGCTTTCAAATATAAAGAGTTATCAGTATCGACCAAAATTTGGATCTAGATTTATCGGCCAATATATCGGTTATCGGCTTTCACATATAAAGAGTTATCGTATCGACCAAAATTTGGATCTAGATTTATCGGCCAATATATCGGTTATCGGCTTTCACATATAAAGAGTTATCGGTATCGACCAAAATTTGGATCTAGTTTTATCGGCCGATATATCGGTTATCGGCTTTCAAATATAAAGAGTTATCGGTATCGACCAAAATTTGGATCTAGTTTTATCAGCCAATATATCGGTTATCGGCTTTCAAATATAAAGAGTTATCGGTATCGACCAAAATTTGGATCTAGATTTATCGGCCAATATATCGGTTATCGGCTTTCAAATATAAAGAGTTATCGTATCGACCAAAATTTGGATCTGGATTTATCAGCTAATATATCGGTTATCGGCTTTCAAATATAAAGAGTTATTGGTATCGACCAAAATACTTCGGTTATCGGCTTTCAAACATAAAGAGTTGTTGGTATCGGCCAAAATTTTTATCTAGATTTATCGGCCAATATATCGGTTATCGGCTTTCAAATATAAAGAGTTATCGGTATCGACCAAAATTTGGATCTATATTTATCGGCCAATATATCGGTTATCGGCTTTCAAATATAAAGAGTTACCGGTATCGACCAAAATTTGGATCTAGATTTATCGGCCAATATATCGGTTATCGGCTTTCAAATATAAAGAGTTATCGGTTACTGTATCGCCAAAGTCTTCATATCGGTGCATCCCTACTATCGTTACGCAAAGAAACTGTGCTGTTAAAGTCTGCTTCCTCATTTTTTGTGTGTGTGTGTGTGTGTTTTTTTTTGGGGGGGGGGGATGAGTGCACGATACGCAAGGAAACAGCTTACTCGAGTGCAAATGCAAAAAAGCAGGGAAACGATCACACGACCCCATCAGAACGTGAGTGCATTTACAAAAATAACCACTAACTACATTAAGACAACAATAAATAAGTTGTTTTGTTTTTTTCCAGCATCGCAGCTACTTATGTTGAGAAGCTGTACCAGCCCCGCACACACAGCTTGGCAAGAGAAGACAAAGAAAAACCAGAAAGAGTGATCGTGAAGAACAGCCTTAGAAAAGTTATGTTTGGTTTCTATAAAACAAATGGCTTTACTCCCTTGTCATGTCCTCTAGAAATGGCAGCAAACAGGTTTCATGCACATCACGACTCTACAAGCGAGACCACGAGTCACAGAGCGAATGGAAACACAGAGTTATGCCGTTACTGTTCGACGTGTGCTTGTGCTACAGGCATTACGGTACATGTTTCACTCGCTTCGAGAACACAGTGTCTTCAGGACTAGCAGGACGTCCTCACGTCACGTTTCCCAGAAGGCTCTCGCTTCAACATGCATTTAGTGGATACGTTTGACAAGCGCTGGACGAAATGCACACCGTCACAGTTCGTCATCAAGCCTGGCCTCACGATTACAAACGAACGCCAAGCATCATCTCCGATAATTACAGACACGACGACGACGACTTTCTCTCATTCGCTCATGATGTGTTTTTTCCACAAATGATTCGTTCAACTAAGTTCGTGACCAACCACGTGTGATATGCCGTAATGCTTCATCCGTGACCCACTGAGAACATTTGGTTGGTCATCGTTCCCACACACACACACACACACACACACATACAGAGCACTTTGACTGAAACCATCTTCATCGACAGACTCGTTCTTCTCCACTCTTCTCTGTTCTCATGGTCATTTGGCTCAGAAGGCAAAGGTCAGAGGTGAGAGTGGTGATGGAGATGACACATTTTGGCAAAGTGCCCACGAGGGGACGAAGAGAGACGACAGGAGCTTTCGCTAGCGCTACACGAGACATCAGCTATCAGGCGACAGCTGCGTCTCAATGTCTACCCTGCAGATGGGACACTTCTTATTGGTCGCCAGCCACTGGTCGACACAAGCCTGATGGAAGAGGTGCATGCAGGGTAATCTCCTGAGAAAAGAAGAACAAAAACGGAAGATGATGTCACCGGTTTCATGAGGAGACCAATGAAAGCGAGTGTCGAGCACAACTACCTGACGTCCTCTCCGTCCTCGAGCATCGAGAGGCATATCGTGCATTTCTCATCTGTGTCGAGCTCCTCTTCATACATGCCGATCTTCAGATCCAGAGGTCTTCTCTGCGGATCACATGATCACTTATTAGACACATGCTTTTTTGTTTAATCCAACTAGACGAGGGCTTAAAGCGTTAGTTGACCCAAAAATGAAAATTCTGTCAGTATTTCCTCACCCTCATGTTGTTCAACCCCGTAAGACCTTCGTTCATCTTCGGAACACAAATTAAGATATTTAAGATATTAAGATCGCTCCTGCATACTAGTCCATAGGCTTCTTGAGGGAATGACTCGAAAAGTCATTAAAGACATCGTTAAAATAGTCCAAGTGACTACAGCGGCTCAATCTTAACTTTATCAAACGACGAGAACACTTTTGTGCGCAAAAATAAGGACTTTATTTCAACTATTGGTTTATTTCTCCCTCTGCGCGAGTCAGGTTACTAGTTTAATAGCGTAAGCTTCTGTTATTGTACGTCACACGCATCATCACACACATGACCAGCGTCGGCCAATAGTGAGCCTACGTGTGTCGTAGCTTTACGCAATCACACTACGTTAACTGACTACAGGCTCATGGAGAAGGAAGTGAATAGTTGAAATAAAGTCCTTATTTTTGTTGTTTTTTGCGCACAAAAGTGTTCTCGTCGTTTGATAAAGTTAAGATTGATCCCCTGTAGTCACTCAGACTATTTTAACGATGTCTTTAATGACTTTTCGAGTCATTCCCTCAAGAAGCCTATGGACTGTATGCAGGAGCGATCTTAATATCTTAAATATCTTAATTTGTGTTGCGAAGATGAACGAAGGTCTTATGGGGTTGAACAACATGAGGGCGAGTAAATACTGACAGAATTTTCATTTTTGGGTGAACTAACCCTTTATTCAGCTCTTTTTTTGTGAAAACCTAAAAAAACAAACAAATTTTTCGCTTGTTTTACCTGTCGAAACTATCCCGTGTGCATTCCCGTAGCTTTTGCCTGCACGGGTCTCATGATCACATATCCACACAAAAGCAGTAAATTTCACTTCTTTTGTCAGCCGAACCTCTCTGAACTAAAATATTTACTTCAAATATAATTTCAGCGCCACTGAGATTTACTAATATTTCAATAATTTAACTCCACATTCACATGGACACGGTTCTATGATGTTGGTTAATGATCACATGACGTGAGCATACACATAAAATATTTCATTTTTTACATTTTTATATCTATTATCTACCTATTGAAAGCTATAAACAAGTTTGGTAGAAAATAATCTATGTAGTTGGATTATGTGGTACAGTTGTTCGGCACCATTGACTTCCATAGTAGAAACAAAAAAATACTATGGAAGAACTACACTTTAGTTACACTACTACTACTATACCGATTTCCGACTATTTCCCAGTAATGGACTACAATTATGTGATGCATAAATATATAAATAAAAATATACATTTTAGTCATGTTTACCTTTTTATACTTGTGAGGAAATGTACACCTCTCAATGGTGGTCTGCACAGCCCCTCGGTTCACGTTTCCCAGTCTGTCCTCCAACTGCAGGAGCTCCTGGAAGAAAACCACAGGGAAACATCAGATCTGAACACGTGAGATGAAGAACATCATCTGAGATCTAAACACGTGTGATGAAGAGCATCAGATAAGACGTGACGTACCTCGTAACTCTCCCGCACGGCAGACGCGTGTCGAGACGGACTGAGGCCTTGGAGAGCCAGCAGGTGTAACTGAGGATATGGGTAGTTTCTGATCTCATGGACAACCTGTGCAGGACAACACCATTCATTAACACACAACATCAATGAACAACTGGATCCTGAGGCTTTCAGAAGAGCATGTGAGAGATGCATTAAAAAAAAAAAAACAATGTGTTTAGCTATCGCAGCATGACTTGTATAAGTCGCAGCATGGTTTAAATGATTAAAAAAATGGGACTTTGAAAAATATGGTAGCTTAAAGGGGTCCTTGATTATGATTTCACTAGTTTTCTAACTGTAGTGAGTGTGTAATTGTTGGCCTGCTTTAGAGAAGAGGAAGAGTTGCTATCACTGTTCTTACACCCCTAAAAAGTGTTAACCCTCTGGGGTTGCTCGTTTCAGAGTCACACTCGGGGTGTTCGGGTCCAAATGGACCCAAAGGGCGGGATTCATATTTAAAAAAAAAAAAAACATGATTTTTTTTTTTACTCGTTTTTTTTTTTTTTTTTTTTTTTCGGTGTTTTGAGAAAATTTACAAAATTAAAAAAATTTATAATTTGTATTAATGCAATAATTATTACAAAATTTCTCACCATTGAACATAATAGAAAAAAATATTAAATTTTTTTTTTTTTTTTTTTAAAGCTGTATTTCATTTTAGAGTCAAGCCAAGGCCTCATAAAAGCAATTTTTGCAATGAGATGGATGCCATCTGGTGGACAAACTGAGCATTTTAAAAATGCAAAACACATGTATAATCTGAATTTTTTGGTGTGTTTGTGTATAAAAGTGTGTTTGTGTGTGGATGTGTCTGTTTTGCACTCTTGATGTTTTATAGATTCACCCCTTCACTGTTGTGTGCTTTTTTTCAAGATCGTGCCGTCGGGACCATCTGTTGTTTATGGATCACAACTTGTTAGTATGTCTTATTATTTGTAGTTGTGTTTTCTATTAACAGTTTCAATAATTATGTAGTTGCTACCTCTGCTCGCCTGCAAACGAACATTACAGTATTGATGTAGTGTTGAAACAGTTCCACTATTACAAGGGGTAATTTCTCTCCCGGCCACTAGGGGTCATCGGGGAGAATGTTGTCTAGGACGTGGTTTCATAAAAGAGGCAGAGAAGAAGTACTAATGAGAACAGGTGCTATTTGACTGTTAGAGGGCCTCCCTCCACTACTGAATGGGACACAATGTTAAGTGAATGTAATTTTATGCTTGACAGACATGCATTGAAAGAGTATTGTTTGGAGTCTGTAGAAAACGCCTGCAGGAATGAGAAAGGTGGCTACATTAAAAAAGGACTGTGGATTAAAGTGGATTCTGATTTCTTCCATACACCATTTTTGGATTGGATTTATTCTACTATTGCTTGGACGTCAGACTTTTCGAACCAAATTCAGCAGAGACTTGGACTTGGTCTTTCATGCATCTTTGGAGTCAAAGTCAAACAGATAAGTCATGCTTTATTATGTGGTTGCCTAAGTAATGTTGTCTATGAAATTGAGGAGTATTTAAAGAGTATTTTTTAAGTTAATGATCTGTAAGAATGGATCTTTATTAATACCAGTCATTGATTCAAGTAACTTTTTTGATATTTGTGTAAAAAGTGTTTTATTTCTACAATGGGCTCTATGCACGGCGGTATTTCCGGTGAAGGTGTAAGGATGCTCGATAACTTCCGCCGATCGTCCAATGCAATACCGAGAGTTTATATTGAATTTTATACTCCATGGTTATACTAATGAAACGTTAGTCACAAAAACAGATAAAACAGACACCCCTCGTTGTGTTTATGCTTATTTTTAAAATTATATTAAATAAACATAACTATATATAAAATTACATCTAAAAGTATGTACGTTTCGTTTCAAAGACGGGAGGACGGTAAATTTTGAAGACTCGGTTTTCCTCATAGACAGTAAAAGAAAGGTTTTCCTCCGCTTAAATCTCCACAACCGGAATGCGGAACTTATGCGTGCATATATGGTGTAAAAGCGTCTTAGTGCTGCCCTCTTCAGGTTGAACAGTGGCAACTGCAGTTGAATTTTTTTTTTTTTTTTCTGCAGTTGAATTTTCCTATTGGATGTTCCGCACTTCGTGACGTACGCAGGTTTCAGCTCACCACGCTCTTGGTACGAGCGGCAGTATAAAAACCAGCTTGTTTCGTCAAAACCACTGTAGGGAGTCAGGAATTGGAATTGTGAATATTGAAAACGACCAGGATAGAGTGTTTTAGCATATATTTCGTCCCCTCTATCTCTTTCGGGTGTCTGCCCACTTTTTCAGCATTTTTCAAATATTACCAGTGGGTGGAGTCAGGCTCTGACCAGGGGTTTAAATGAACGGGTAATATTGGACTGCTACTGTTGTGTCCATCTGAGAGTGAAACAAGCTGCTTGGGGATTGTCAATGTATAATTATTGGTGTTTTCTTTTGGTTTCTTTTTCAATGTTTTGTTAATTCATATGGCTATTTTTGAATGTTATTTTTTTTCTCATTTCACCGTGTAGTTAAGCAGCATTAAGTTAGAGGGTTCTCTCATGACCTGTTGACAATTTTCAATAGCTAGAACCCCTTTCTTTTGTGTAGCCTTTACCTAGGTATAGTAGGGAGTTGTAAGCTCTTGCTTTTGTAAGACGGTTCACCAGCCCTCAGGAAAATTATCCATGATTCTGTGATCGATTACTGTTTGTATAACCATACTTTTCTGACAAATATGATTAAATGGTGGATAAGAATCGTATCCATGAGAAAATTACAAAACAAAAATACCACAATGTCCTGTGAAATCATCGTCAGGGTCTGAATCGGGCTTGAAATGGTTTTGAAATTGTTAATATTTACATCCGAGTAGAGCTTGCGGTTATGAAGGGGCGGGACATTTCCTGAACACACAACACACTGGGCCAGCTGACCAATCACAGCACATTTCGTATTTCAGAAGGAGGGGCTTCAGCGAAAACGACACATTCAACCGGACTGAGGAAAGCGGAGCTGTAATAATGTAAAATATGTGAGAAATAATGTGTTTTTCAACATGTTCTAGTACACCTTAAAACAAAATCAAGACTTAGTAAAAGTCCATAATAGGACTCCTTTAAATAGCATAAACGATCGATTGCCAGGGATCAAATGTATGGGTTTAACGCAATGCAAGTCGTGATTGCAAAGGCGTGGACTGACCACTTGTGCCGAGGTGTTGTTCCTGGGGAAGTGATGCAGGCGTGGAGAGGTCAGGTAATGCTGATAATGCTGAGTGAGAGGAGAGACGTGATACTGTGGCAGGCCTGGATCCACACTCAGATCCCTGAACACAAACACACCACAGATGTCAGTAGATCAGAGCCCAAACTGAGGACTAGTTTATGCCGTATCTGAACACAGACGCACCAGTCTGTTCCTTCGGCAAGGTAGCGCGGCTGCTGTGGGACCGGCGCCGGGATGTGAAAGGATTGTGGGTAATCATAGGGCGGGCGCAGCGTCTGCGGATGGGGAAGAGTTCGGTCTGAAGCGTGTCTGCTGGGAAAAATCAGAACCAAATTGTAAAAGCATAACAAAGATCTAGTTTTTAAGTCCCCCTGATTACTTATAACAAACTTTACTGATTGCTGATTTAAAACTTTACTGATTTAAAACTTTTCTGATTTAAAACTTTACTGATTTAAAACTTTACTGATTACTGATTTAAAACTTTACTGATTTAAAACTTTACTGATTACTTATTACAAACTTTACTGATTGCTGATTTAAAACTATACTGATTTAAAACTTTACTGATTACTGATTTAAAACTTTGCTGATTTAAAACTTTACTGATTGCTGATTTAAAACTTTACTGATGTAAAACTTTACTGATTACTGATTTAAAACTTTACTGATTTAAAACTTTACTGATTACTGATTTAAAACTTTACTGATTGCTGATTTAAAACTTTACTGATGTGAAACTTTACTGATTACTGATTTAAAACTTTACTGATTTAAAACTTTACTGATTACTGATTTAAAACTTTACTGATTTAAAACTTTACTGATTACTGATTTAAAACTTTACTGATTACTTATTACAAACTTTACTGATTGCTGATTTAAAACTTTACTGATTACTGATTTAAAACTTTACTGATTTAAAACTTTACTGATTACTGATTTAAAACTTTACTGATTACTGATTTAAAACTTTACTGATTACTGATTTAAAACTTTACTGATTACTGATTTAAAACTTTACTGATTTAAAACTTTACTGATTACTTATTACAAACTTTACTGATTGCTGATTTAAAACTTTACTGATTACTGATTTAAAACTTTACTGATTTAAAACTTTACTGATTACTGATTTAAAACTTTACTGATTACTGATTTAAAACTTTACTGATTACTGATTTAAAACTTTGCTGATTTAAAACTTTACTGATTGCTGATTTAAAACTTTACTGATTTAAAACTTTACTGATTACTGATTTAAAACTTTACTGATTACTGATTTAAAACTTTACTGATTACTGATTTAAAACTTTGCTGATTTAAAACTTTACTGATTGCTGATTTAAAACTTTACTGATTTAAAACTTTACTGATTACTGATTTAAAACTTTACTGATTACTGATTTAAAACTTTGCTGATTTAAAACTTTACTGTTTACTAATTTAAAACTTTATGGATTACTGTTTTAAAAATTTACAGATTACTGATTCTGATTTTAAACTTTACGTATTATTGATTCTGATTTAAAACTTTACTAATTACTGATTTAAAACTTTACAGATGACTGATTCTAATTTAAAACATTACTGATTGTGATTTAAATGAGTGATTGGACTTGTGTTAGTTGAACACACCTGTGCTGTGGGAGTATCCTCCTGTGCTGGGCCTCCAGGATCTGCTGCTGGATGAGGTATTGCTGGTGTAAAGCCTGAGGTAGGAATGATGGGGTCGAGATGTCCTGGAACGGAGGCGCTGGTATATGGTTGAGCGGGGCGTGTGGTTGACCCAGGTGAGGGCTCATTCCCGTGGGAGATTGTCCTGGATGGGGCATTGGGAAATCAACAGGGATCTGGGCCTGAGGGCCTACGTGGAAATGCCGGCAAGAGGTAGCATGACTGTGCTGATGCCTGTTAAAATGAGATCCTGCAAGAACAATGACATCACAGCCAATTATGAGTGGGATTAAACTAATGCTGGAGGCTTGGCCTTCATCGTCTTCATCGAACTTCCAGAAGAAATGAATGGTCAGCAGTGGGTGTGATGGGGAATGAAGAGTGGAGGGGACTGAGATGTGTTAGTCTGTTAGCAGTGAATGTGGTTACACACAAGTCAGTGTTTGAGAGTGTAAATCAGATTTACCGTCGGATACATACAGCGAGAGACAGTATGAACAGGGAACTGAAGTCAAACCACTTCACTAAGTCATGCCTGTAAACATATTGACAAGTGAGGAAATATCAAGACTTTAGTTTATCCTCATCAGTTTGTGGTCAGAACTATGGTTTAGTTTGTTGGTTTTTCCTAAGGATAATCACTGAAGCAATGGTTGGTTTGTTAAAATCACACACTATTTATAGTACCTAACTTAAAAAAATAGGCTGTGACTATGAGGAATGATTACCTCAAAATATAAGTCTGTGTGCAAGTTCGAGGGACTTTATTTAACCTTCATCCTTCCTTCGCATTTTATCATCCAAAATCTGACCCAAAGCCCTAAAATTATACTTAATATCTTTTGACCAGAAATATTATTTTATTTCATTTTGATACAAAATTTTTAAGCAGTTTTTTAAAATTGAAAATAACTCGCATCTCATGCATAACCCTTTTAATTCAGCTCTAAATATCTGACATTGTGTGTCTTTAACGACCTCTTGTGGAAAATAATAATATAAGATGACATTTCATGACTCTAGATGGGCTTATATCTCTATATGGAGTAAATGAGCTGTTCCTCTGGGTCCTGAAGTCAGGTTCGCTTCGGTGTGCGTTCAGATACACATGTAGACAGTAGAACATCATATTTTGGTGAAGTTTTAGCATTTTTAGTTTGAATTTTGAGCATTTTTAGGGTTTTATATGTGAACTGAAGCATTCCACTCATTCCTAAGGGCGTCCGATTGACCCGATAGCGAAGGATTTGTTACTTTTTTTTATTTCAACCACAAAACTCCTCGAATCCATTCAAACTTTTTTTGTGTGTATTCGTGGTTCAAGTGCGACAAAAGTCCTGGGGTCTTGGACTCGTCTGATGAACGCGTCATTTTTTTTTTAATTTCTAAAAAACTAGTTTTGGGTAAAAATGACCTGAGGGAACGATGATTACATTAAATACACACAACTCTTTAGCTATTGCCACGTGCCAGTGATTAACCCTTCGCGTGCCATAGTATCTACAATAACACACTTTCTTGCATCTTAACCTGTTAACTGTCACCCCCCCTTTTTTGAATAGACATGAAAATGCACATTTCGAACTTAAATGGTTGTAATTCAAGAATGCTTTGGAATATAGACATATGATTGGTCTTGTTTTAAAGAAGACATCTGGCAGATTTTTGTAGAAGTGAAATAAATTAAGAATGTGAAACAGAAAAAAAGTTATAGAAGTTTGAGTTTATGGAAATGTACAATGTAAAAATATTAATTATTAATATTTTACATAAAATATATATTTTCAAAACCTGGGCTACTCTAAAATGGCAGAAAGATCAAAGCCAAAAATCTGAACAAGTTGTGTTTCAAATTTTAGGTTGATATCTCAAAAAATGAGCTTTCAGTAAGATTTTGTTTGAGCGCAGTACCAAACTTTTTCACTAGGGCACAATCAGACTCCATTACTGCCCATATAAGGGCGTCTGCATTTCCATTCGTGTTTTGAGTGATATGAACCATTATTTTCACAATTTTCATACAATTTCTGAAGTAGAGATCCTATTCAGAAGTAGCATGGGAAGTTTGGCAGATTTTGATATGAATTGAACCTCTAAGAAACACATACAAAGAACACGCATGTAAGTCATAGCTAGCTGCCACATAACAAATGGTGAATTTATTATTTTTTTTCTTGATATTTCAAACTTTTCAGACCTTTTTTTTCCAAAATAATTGAATGGATTCTATCTTTTGAACTTTTGGCATGAAAACAAACTGAGGTATCTACCATTTTTTCATGATTTTTTATGTTTACTGCTATTATAAAATAAAGGTCTGAACACGCCTTATGAGTATGAAAATATTCTTGTTTTATATTGATAAATTATGGCTCCTCTGTAATATATTTTGAAAATCAGTCACCAATTATGGAAACTAGAGATTGTAAGCTTTCAAATGATATATAGTTTGTCAATATTATTTAAGGTATTTACTAAGATATTATTGTTTTAAAAATATAGTGGCAAACGTCCCACCTGTGGGACGGTGACAGTTAAGTGGTTAAATAGTTTTAAAAGTCTACTTTCCATGGGGTATTTCTGTTGCATTGACATCTGTCTTAAGACTTAGTCTGGACATCTAGCAGTAGCCAATGGGTAATCAGTCCTACTTTTCAATTTCAAATTGGACCAATATACTTTTTATTTAACTAACATAAAAAGGTAGAAAAAAGAAAAAAGCTCGATAGCTAATTAGTCTAATCAGTTTATGCATCTGGCCACTGAACTTCTCTGGTAGTCACATTCATTGCAGAATATTGTTGCAAAATGTGTGTGAATCCTCTATTGTTTTACCCAAACCAGATTTAATCAGTAAAGTTAATTGCACACACAGTGCTAAAACACTAACCCTAAACCTAGTCTTAGTATAACATTGCTAGAACACCCTGATACAGTTGTAAATTTGTGAATAAAACAAGACTATTGGTGCCCATTTTACAGGAAAATACTGTTTCAGTCTTTCTACTGAAAAAAATGTGTTTAATTCAATGTGTTGCTTGTTATGGAAGCTTGTTTCCTCCACTGAAAAAAAAAAAAAAAAGTAATTGTGATTTTTTTTTTTCCATCTCACAATTCTGACTTTTTATCTCAGAATTGGTTAAAGTCAGAAATATGTGTAATAAAGTCAGAATTGCGAGATATATATAGTCAGATTTGAGATATATATAAATCAGAATTGTGAGATATAAAGTCAGAATTGTGAGATATAAAGTCAGAATTGCGTGATATATTCAGATATGAGATATAAATTAGAATTGTGAGATATAAAGTCAGAATTGCGTGATATATTCAGATATGAGATATAAATTAGAATTGTGAGATATAAAGTCAGAATTGCGTGATATATTCAGATATGAGATATAAATTAGAATTGTGAGATATAAAGGCAGAATTGCGAGATATAAAGTCAGAATTGTGAGATATAAAGTCAGAATTGCGAGATATAAAGTCAGAATTGTGAGATATAAAGTCAGAATTGTGAGATATAAAGTCAGAATTGCGAGATATATTCAGATATGAGATATAAAGTCAGAATTGTGAGATATAAAGTCAGAATTGTGAGATATAAAGTCAGAATTGCGAGATATAAAGTCAGAATTGTGAGATATAAAGTCAGAATTGCGAGATATAAAGAGAGAAAATAGTAAAATAGTCAGTCTAGAATGGGACTTTATAACTAGCAATTGCAACTTTATTTCATGGAATTGTATGTATTCTATGTCAGAATTTCAAGATATAAACTCGCAATTGTGAGATAAAAAGTCGCACTTCTCTTTTAAAATGTTTTATTCTGTGGCGGAAACAAGTTTATTCTTTATAATTATTTGTGAAATTGACTTGATGCAAATTAATTCTACACCAATTTGTTCGCTGTAGATTTCTGTTTCTCATGCACTGTTTTTCCAAATGTTTTCTTGATTGAGTGAGTTCCCAGCAGATCTAGGGTGCGTTTCCCAAAGCCCACTATAGTTGCAAGTCCCGTCGTTACCCAGAGTTCAATGGAAATTGTGATCATACTGTAGTTGGTCAACGATGCTTTTGGGAAATGCACCCCAGAACGGTCTAGCGTTATTTAGCCAATACTAAAGCTGGACGGCTGAAGGAATCCACAGATGCTTCAACTTCTCAGGCAAATGTCTGAGCATGCAGTAAACGTCTGGTTTTAGATGTATTTTAATGCAGCTGTTAGCCTGTCAAGCATTATCAATGAAAGCTTTGCGGTTTCCAATGACAGAACTTTGGATAAGTGTGTGGGAACCGTTTCACTAAAGCATGGTCTCTTTTAAAACCCGATGGCCAAAGTAGGACATCTTCCTGAATCAACATCCTCTATTGGTACTGGAAAAACAATCTCAGTCCTAAACATTATCCCACCAAACATCAAAATCACTGTGGCGCTGTTGAAGCTCTTAAGTCTAAAATCTGATTGGTTGATAGGAATGTCGTTCTGGGACCGACAAGAATGTTGGACACTCCTCATCTTCAGAAATATGTTTACTGGGATTTATCCAAGATCAACATCTCTGAAGATTAACCCTTCAACTCGGTCCATAGAGCAAATATTAAATCAGAAATCAGGCTTTTGCTTGTGCTACATGCAGTTTGCATGCTTTATTATCACTGTATGAGAATATTTATTTATAAAGCATTACTCTAAATATGAAATATCAAGAAAAAAAAGATAACTTTGCACCATGCATTGAAATTAGGGATGCAACGATATGCAAATTTTGGCGGATATCGAGAACCGATAAATGTTTATATTTGAAAACCAATATATCGGCCAATAAATCTAAATCTAAATTTTTATATCATTTTTGAGAGAACTATTACAAAAACAAACTGTTAAATCCATGTTCCAAGCACACAATTATAATGTCCTCATTATAATTTTACGAGCCGATATGACAGAACGTTGCACTGAACTGTTTTTTCTATTTTTCATCTGAAGGAAATAATACAGTATTTATCAGCTTTAATATATCGTCCGATACCGATACGTTGCCGATATATCTCTTGCATCCCTAATTAAAATAGGCCACATAGAAGTTAAAACGCCCTTCATTCAGAAGTACAACAGTATGAGATTTTATATTATTAACAAAAGATTACTGAATGCTAAACTGAGTTTGTGGTGTTGTGATAAAGGAATCTGTCGGCTATTTACAAGACAACAAGGGAATGGGCAAATGAAGAAACGCACCAATTTATGGGTTTAAAAATCATGAGAATACGTCAATATTCATTATGAGAAAGAAACTCCAGATGAACAAAAATAGTAGAAATGGATAAAAATGGCCACTCTCTCCACTCTACTTCTGATTAGAATGAGGGAATTGAAAACATACAAGCTGAAGTCGCCAGACGAAATCATGTATAATGTGCTGCATGTGTTCATGGGAGATGAAATGTGTGGATATACCTGGACACACCACAGAGAAAGGCCACGTTTACATTGCATCCGGATCATTTACTGCGAGAAGACTTAAAGGTGCAGCGTTACGGGCAAGACTCGTTGGAAATGGATCTGATTTCTTTCTCAGATGTGGAAAGTCTTTGGTTATCGGGACAGTTGGGAACGTACACTGCACCTTCAAGTGCCTCGACGACGGCAATAAATGACCACGGATCAACTCATCGAGGTCTCATGATGAAGAAAGCCGGGAAAATCAGTCTATCGGTCACAGCAGAGGGAGGAGGTGGAGGGGGGAGACAATAAATGGAAATCAGCAAGAAGCACACTGGAGGTTAGGAAAAATACTATATTCTTTATTGAAAAATATTAGTATATATATATGTGGATTTGTGTCATAATAATAAGTCCATGCAACAAATAAAACAACATTGACCAATAGCAAGGCCCACCATGCTCAGTACAGGGTTAACAGAACAAAAGCAACATCCAATGAGCAGATGCATCGGCTACAGCACATTACAGTACAGCAGGGTTCATCTTTACTACAGAAAGATTACATTGGAGTCTATTCAATGTAGAATCAAAATAATAATAATAATAATAATGTGATTCATGCACTCAAGTCTATTACCAGAACAAAAGGTAGAGAAACCACAACCAAACAATAGACATTTGCATTGCTCTAATAGAGGATCTCAGTAGCAGTGCAGGAAATCAACATCCCTGCCAAATGGATGGCATTTTGGACGCTGGCAATTTGGACAATTTGGACGCGACGAGCCAATCGTTGGGGGGTTTTTGTCTGTTGTTTTTTGCTTTTCCTCTAAACGTGATTGTGAATGATTGTGTAAAATCAGAAGGCGATGAATGAAGCACACGGTATGCAGGTGACTATGGAAGCTCGTTTACGCCACGGAATAAAAAAAAACAATTCGGACTTTTCTAGCTATTGCAATTCGGCTTTATAAACATATTGAAGACTAAAAAAAAAGTCAGCATTGCGAGATATCGTGGAAGCTTGCTTAAATTGAATTATTGTGCCTCTTTATCTTGCAATTCATTTGCGACAATGATATGAAGTCGCAATTGTGAGTCATAAAATCAGACTTGCGTGATATAAAGTCGCAATTGTGTGTAATAAAGTTAGGAATTGTGAAATAATAAACTCGCAATTCTTACTTTATAACACGCAATTGGGAGATATAAAGTCAGAATTGCCTGATATAGCCTAAAGTCAGACTTGTGAGATATAAACTCGGAATTGTGAGATATAAACTCGCAATTCTGACTTTATAACATGCAATTAGGAGTTTAAGTCAGAATTGCATGATATAAAGTCACAATTGTGTGTAATAAAGTCAGTATTATGAGATATTAACTCGCAATAGCCTTTTTTTAATTCAGTGGCGGAAACAAGCTTCCATACGATGTAATGCGCCATTATCTTTTTTATTTTATATTCCGTGATGGAAACAAGCTTCCATAGGTGACAGCTATAGGTGTGTGGGTTTGGTGATAGTCAAAGCACAAAATGCATCCATTTTACAGGAATTTACAAACATGTTGACTACCAAAGCTGGATGGGACATACATGAGTCACTCTTCTAGAGCTACGGATGTGGGTTAAACTACAGCGCTTGACATACAGACAGTAGTTCACGCTCTAAATGTGTTAGCTCTGGTTTTAGTGTGTTTGTTCTCAGGAAGGTAGCAGATCTGAGATGTTTGTCGTCTTCTGATGGAAATAGGAAATGAGGAGGGATCAGAACACAGATGATCATTAAAACACAATGATCTGATAATGCAGAATGTAGATTCAGCCTCCATAGACTATGAGACAGGAGATAAGAACAGAAATAAAGCACATGAAATCAAACTATGAGACAGAAGATCAGAAACAGAAATCAAAAAAGCTTCATGAAATCAGTGATGGCGGTAAAGTTAGCAGCTCATCTCGACACAAGTTTCGTGCTTTTCCTCATTAGACAATCAGCACATCGGTGTGTAATGTTAAATGATTCAGTTCATGAGGTGGACTACTAGTAAAAATAATAAACTGCTTTAAACAAATCAGCTTTTGTCTGATGAAATGCAGATACTGGCATTCTGGGGCTTCAACACAAAATCTTACTTATTTAACTGAAATGAGCATTAAATCACTCTAATAAATGATTGAGCTATGTTATTTGTTGTCCGTTAAGCTCAGGCCTGAATTAGCATCGTTAGCTTTCTGAGGTAAAACCAAACTCACAAATAAACCTCTACAAATACACACAGCGCTCAAGTACACGATAAAACGAATAGAAAATCGATCAAATATACCAATTGCCCCTCATATGAGCCAATCAATTGATTTTAAATGTATTATAAAGTGAAATCTCGTCCATAGGGTCAGCTAGCTAACAGATTACCTCAGATCCGAATCAAACCTCACTGATTCGCTACGTTAAATAAATACCAAATCACCTGTTTATTTAATGAATATCCCCTCAGTATGGACCTACAGCAGGATATAGATCAGTCATGAGGTTTAACGTTAATAGTCACGCATTAAACAAGAAAAAAGGCCTTAGATGTGATCTTATCGTGAAATAATGTGTTATAAATACCTCTATTTCTCACTGAGCCAAAGACAGGAAGAACCAAATATCCGACATGAACTAACACCATCCTTCAGATCGTCTGTTTGATGAATACAGAGTGTAAACGGATGAATAAATAATGTACATTCAGCGGGATCATATGCAGTCAGTCACCGCGAGGACAAAGAGTGGCGGCCAGATTCGATTCGCCAACGAGTCGTTCTAATGAATCGGTTCGTCTTAATGATTCAATCGAACCGATCCACAAGGAGTTTGTATCTCTCAAATGAATCAGTGAATCACGTTCGATTGGAATGAGCCGTCCGAATGAATCGGACTGTTCGAAGCTCGAAAGCAGCAGATTGCAGTTGGAGCGATGACATAATCTGACCAGTAGAGGCGCCACTGTCATCAGTATCTGTGTTTTTACACTCATTTTCGCCAGTCTGATTGAATCCAATCCGATTTTAGATTCAGAAAGCTCTCTAATTCGAACCGTAAACATTGCAATCCAATTCAAACATTCATTTTCGTGAATTCCACACAAGAAAAACACCAAAATGCATGGATTATTTTGGGTTCATAAATGTAGCCACTGATGCTGTGAAGACAAAATGATTCAGATGATTAGTGTCAATAACCACACCACAGTTGGTCAAGCAAAGTTTTAATTGCAAAAAATTGTTTCACTGGTTCTCAATAGAACGGTCACCAATTAATTAAAATATAAACAGAAAAAACGTATATGCAAAAAATGTGCGATGCAGATAATGTACGATGTTACAAATACTGAGCTTAAACAAAAAAGGCAAAAAAAAAAAATAGTGTACAAGTGCTTTGATATTTACAGCGTGTGGCCTTACAATTTTTATTTAAAACAACAATAAAATATACACACAGACAGTACAATTCAATGCCATAGACTATTTGGTCGTTCATATTTGGCCCATTCATCCTTTACTTTTTCTTATGTATATTTGACACACAAAAAACTTCATCAAACAGGCTTGTTCTCAACACAAACGATAACTGTTTTGAAAATTATTCAAAATGTAAAAGAATGATAACGACATTGTCGGAATCACTTTCACTTTTTTTTCCAGCTGATGAACAATAAAAACACTGACAGCCAATCAGAATCCATCCTGCTTTAATGAGCGTAGAGACGAAAAACTGCAGCGCTTTTAATAAACAGAAGGATATAGTTGATAAAACATTGTTATCATTATTGGTGTGAACAGGCCTTAAATATTACACATACAATAAACAGAAAAAGTGTCTTACAGTCAAGTGTACAATGCAAAACATCTGAAGAAATATAACACTGCTTGCATATGTTGGTTCGGAGCGTTTGATGGATCGGGATGCAAAGGCACAGATCTGAGAGGGTTAAAAAGGGCGTGTTGATCTGAAATCAAGCGGAAATACAGCAAACTGGACTCTGGGTCGTCTGACTCAAATGCTCACTGGTCAGAGTTTGATATTTTCTTAGATTTTAGTGGCACGACAGGAGTGATTTCTTCATGTTATTATGCCGTACCGTTCTCAATGTTCTATTACGCTACAGTAAAAAAAGATCTTTAGATTCCTAAAGTCTCCCTGTGGTGTAAATCTAGCGTTTAATATTGTTTATGTGTGTATGTGGTGTGTTTAATCCGCTTAAACCGTGTGTGCGTTGATAAGTGGACAGCATTGCTGAGTATTTCCTCCTTAAAACTGCAGTGAACCAAAGACAGTCTCAAAAACACACTTTGAAATCGCTGGTGTTTCTGACGTCACAAACCACCTTGTAACCAATCAGATCAACGGGTGATTGACAACCAGTGGATCTCTGAGTGGAGGCGGGGCTCATTTGCATAATTATAGAACCGCGCATGATCTTTTAATCAAAACCCTTCCCTTTGAAACATTTATTTTTATTTTTAAGAGTGTATAAATAATGTGGTCACATCAATAGTTGCACTTCCGCTGTATTTATCGTACAGTCTGTGCTAAATGTCTCCACTGTTGGTTCCTGCATTATGAAAATGACAAAGCCAATTTTTTTGCCCGTAGTATTATACAAGTGAATCTATTTGTGTGGATTGTGTGTGGACAGGATCTGCATGTTACTGTAGTCCTCCTTCGTTCCCCGCAGTGCTTCGCTCTCACTGTGCGCTGCCGTAGTGATTCGAGGAATCTGACGTTTCCCGGAGGATCGTGTGGGAATTCTCCTCGTTTTTATTTGACACACATTTAGCGGTGAAGAGATCCGACACAAAGAACACCTGCGACGTGAAGGCGAAAAATCATTATACTGCACATCTGCAGGATAGTTCAGCCCAAAATGAAAATTAGTCCATGATTTACTCAGCCTCAAGTCATGACACTCTTCTTTCAGACGAATATAATCAGAGTTATATTAAAAATGTCCTGACTCTTCCCAGCTTTATAATGGCAGTGAATGACTGTTTCTGGTTTCAAGTCCAAAAAAGTGCATCATCGATTTTATGATGGACAGATGCACTTTTATGATGGACAGATGCACTTTTATGATGGACAGATGCACTTTTATGATGGACAGATGCACTTTTATGATGGATAGATGCACTTTTATGATGGATAGATGCACTTTTATGATGGACAGATGCACTTTTATGATGGACAGATGCACTTTTATGATGGACAGATGCACTTTTATGATGGACAGATGCACTTTTATGATGGATAGATGCACTTTTATGATGGACAGATGCACTTTTATGATGGACAGATGCACTTTTATGATGGACAGATGCACTTTTATGATGGACAGATGCACTTTTATGATGGACATGCACTTTTATGATGGACAGATGCACTTTTATGATGGACAGATGCACTTTTATGATGGATAGATGCACTTTTATGATGGACAGATGCACTTTTATGATGGATAGATGCACTTTTATGATGGACAGATGCACTTTTATGATGAATAGATGCACTTTTATGATGGACATGCACTTTTATGATGGACAGATGCACTTTTATGATGGATAGATGCACTTTTATGATGGACAGATGCACTTTTATGATGGACAGATGCACTTTTATGATGGACAGATGCACTTTTATGATGGACAGATGCACTTTTATGATGATAGATGCACTTTTATGATGGACAGATGCACTTTTATGATGGACAGATGCACTTTTATGATGGACAGATGCACTTTTATGATGGACAGATGCACTTTTATGATGATAGATGTACTTTTATGATGGACGGATGCACTTTTATGATGGACGGATGCACTTTTATGATGGACAGATGCACTTTTATGATGGACAGATGCACTTTTATGATGGATAGATGCACTTTTATGATGGACATGTACTTTTATGATGGACAGATGCACTTTTATGATGGACAGATGCACTTTTATGATGGACAGATGCACTTTTATGATGGATAGATGCACTTTTATGAAGGACAGATGCACTTTTATGATGGATAGATGCACTTTTATGATGGACATGCACTTTTATGATGGATAGATGCACTTTTATGATGGACAGATGCACTTTTATGATGGACAGATGCACTTTTATGATGGACAGATGCACTTTTATGATGGACAGATCCACTTTTATGATGGACAGATGCACTTTTATGATGGACAGATGCACTTTTATGATGGACAGATGCACTTTTATGATGGATAGATGCACTTTTATGATGATAGATGTACTTTTATGATGGACGGATGCACTTTTATGATGGACAGATGCACTTTTATGATGGACAGATGCACTTTTATGATGGATAGATACACTTTTATGATGGACAGATGCACTTTTATGATGGATAGATGCACTTTTATGATGGACAGATGCACTTTTATGATGGACAGATGCACTTTTATGGACTTCAAAACAGAAACAGCCATTCACTGCCATTATTAAGCTTGGAAGAGGCAGGACATTTTTTTATACAGTATAACTCTGTGTTCGTCTGATAAAAGAGTGTCATGTACACCTAGGATGGCTTGACGGCGAGTAAATCATGGGCTAATTAATGGCCGTACGGCACACGTTCATGAAGCCACTTACAGTAAACAGCGCCACGGCGGCTCCCTGTACGAGTCCGGTGAGGACGTCACTCCAGTGGTGTTTATAATCCGAGACGCGGGAAAGACCCACATACAGAGAAGCGGCGATAAACGAGATCTGGAGAGTCGGCCGCACCAGTCGAGCCCATCTAGCCATTAGTCTGGACTGCAGATACAGCTTCACAGAGGAAAACACACCAGATATTAGCATAAATAAATATATTGACTTATATAAATATGTCACTTAACGCAAGACAATACTACACACTAATAGATATGACCATATTACCCCATAAAGACAATTAAAATCCATAAAGTTTGGAGTGACGACTGAAATCTACAGATAAATGCAATGAAATAAAGACTTAAATGTGTATTTTGGATGTTTTCTTTTCACTAGTCTAAAAGAAGACATGTTATGGAAGCGAAATAGGCCTGTAGTGTCTCACCTTAAATCTGATTATATTCTCATAAGAACACACTTACAGCGAGGAACAGCATACAGTACATGGAGAACGATGAGTGACCAGAGTAAAAGGAAAGCCTGTAAGCAGAAGATTGCACGTCATTATTAGTCAATTGCCTAAATCAAACAATGCACTTGATAAAACATCAGAAATGCGGTGAGATTGTCAGGGTTTGGCTCACCGGCCTTCATTGGTGAGGCGTGGATCTCCAGTGCAGGTGAAGTTCTCGATGTAACCGGACGTACAGTCGATGAGGCTCCAGTGGGGTTTGCAGACGGTCAGAAAGTGTGGTCTCAGGCGGCCGATGGTGTATTTGGCGATGTCGGTCAGCGACTGGCTCAATGCCGCTCCGAACACGAAGGATCCCACGGCCTTGTACACACACACTATATATTCATAACTTAAAGAAGCTCTGGACCTCAGATAGACCGAAGAACACTCGCCGAAGATGATCTGTGTGAAGAAGAGAACACAGGAAAAAATTAAATTGACTTTATATCACACAACTCAATTTCTGTCTCTGTAACTGTGAGATTTAAACTCACAAACAAAGGGAAAGAAAAGCAGAATTGTGAGATTAAAAAAACCCAGTTTCCTTTTCTAATCTGAGGTGGAAGCAAGCTTTCGTACAAATGACTCTAACTGAGCATGCTCATTTTTATTGTTTATTAAATGAAGCGTTTGTTCTAGATAGTGGTCTGTGTCCTTGATATTGATCAAGCAACAAAAGAAAAAGAGAAAAGCATTCACTCTTTGTTAATAGCTTTAGTATAATAAGGATTGATTATATTTAATTTATACAAATAAATATTTCTGCTTGAAAGAATAAAGAATGATGTATGCAA